GTCCGTCGCAACTGTGGGGTTCACGATGCGTGAATTTGAGTACCGTGTAAGCTCGATTCCAACGAGCTTTGTGTGCTTGCGTCTCGTTCGGAATCGGTAGCTTACTGCTACCAAATTGAGATCGAAGCCCCGTTCAGGCCTTAGTTAGTCGTGCCATTAGTTTTGCGGTGCATAGAATTAGCTGAGGCGTGTGGAGAAGTTGGAGTCTATGACGGTCACGGGTTCGATTTACACATCATTTTTAGTGGTTTCAGTCTGTTCAACTTGGTTGGACGACCGTCTTTGCTAATATAGGGGAGTTAAGGCATGTACACCGCGGCCTTCTCCCCTGCGGCATCGGCGTCAGCGTGGGACTGGACCCGCTGGAGCCGGCACTTCGCGGAGGTGGACCAGGCAGAGAGCTACGCGTCCGTGTTGCGCTTCCAGCTGGAGGAGGCCGTGGACTTGAAAGCAGGAGTAATTTTCTTCCCAGAAGTTTGCACAAATTAATCTAGGATCATGATCCTGGTCAATGTTAGGGGCAATAGTAGTAAAGCCAACAACAAATGGGCAATTTATAAGTTGTTGTCCGTGATGTCTGAACATATGCAACAAATTTGTATGTACAGTATGATTGCTCAAAATGGACCGTCGTATATTCCTGTACAAGGTTGGGGAGGCACGGTCAACATTGGTGTTCTGGTGCAGGTCGCCGGAGCCCGGAGAGAGGAGAGGTCGTCACGTCGAGCTCATGGGGATAGGGCAGCCACCACTGTCGCCTCCCACGACGACAGAGCAAAGGTGAGGATGCTTGACTGTCAAAACTGAAAAATTGAGATCTGCTTGTGAAACTGAACAACTGAGATCTGCTTGTAAACATAGCTTGAAAATCATGGCTATTATTGTGAAGTTCTCAAGGTGATGAGTTTACTCGAGTGCTTTCCCCTGGAGACTTTGCATTTCCAGGTGACTTCTTGGAGATTTTGAAACTGCTTGTACTGTCATAATTTTCACTTTATAAAACTGAGAAGTGTATTTTCCATTTTGAAACTGAGATCTGCTTGCACTATCATACAGTGATTTTTAGTTTGTAAAGCTGAGAAATGTATTTTCCATGTGGAAACTGAGATCTGCTTGTACTGTCATAGTTTTCAGTTTGTAAAATTTGAGTACTGCAGATTTTACTGCCAAAACTGTATCCACTGTAAAACTGAAATAAAATAAGCACTGTCACTGTGATGCTTTGACTAAAATAAAATAAGGTTTATCACTATCAAAATTGTCTAAATGGCCATCAAGCAATGAAATTTGGCTGGTCTCACAGATTTATGGGATCTCCACAGCTTCTGTAGCTTCTACAGACTTGATTCACTAAATTCACTAAAGCATGGAGTAGAGATTTATGTGCATCTTCTTTGTTGGCATCTTCTTTGCTTATGGAAGGATGTACAGTATGGAGTATGGAGTACTTCATTTCTGTGAATGCAAGGCTTGGCAATAGAGATTTGTGCAACTTTTTCAGTACAGTGTAGGAGTAACATCTTTCTGTTCATCTTTTAATAGGAGTACTTCAATGCACTTCATCCAAGGACGATGCAAGCCATTTACTAGAAAGCAGAAGCAGATTTTGGTAGGTAAAGAAAACCTTTGCCTGCTTCCAGATTTGTGTATACATCTACTGAAGCAAACAAATGCAGTACTAGTGCTAGTGCTTCCAGAATTTGAGTACACCAGTGCATATTCACTCCTATAGGCAAAAGACTGTTGTAGACTCCAATTTTAAGTGTGTTTTTGGTAAGTAAATAAAATCTTTGCCTGCTTCCAGATTTGGAGTACAAAGACAAAAGACTATTGTAAGTATATGCACATTCTTCGGTTCCTCTTCCATGATATACGGATCGATAAATGAAGTGATTGTGCTCCAACTTTGTAAGAAGATGTTCATAGATCCATGTAGAATGATGTTCATATTACTCCTATAGACAGAGAGTGATGTACTCCTTGTATTCATGTCTACAGTAAGAAGCAGATAGTGCACCTTGCCAGCTGCTCTTTTCTTTGCTTTACCCTACATTTTCTTTTCTTGGCTATGACTGTATATTGAAAGTGCCATTGCTAACTAACCAAAGCCAGCCATGTTTAAAGAATAAATGTAAGCTTAACACACAACCAAAGCAAGCCATGTTTAATTAGCCATATCTGGATGACTGATGGAAAATGTGGGCTGCAGGCTACACTTGCCTCCTTTATTTGTCTCTTTTATTTCAGTTGAGTCCTGAATTTGAAATTCTAGTGATTCCTCAAATTCTGATGTACTGTTTAACTGAATCAATCTTGTGTTGTTAATTTCTGTAATTTGAGGTGAGGAGTACCTGCCTGGAGTGGTGTGTGCTGCGATGACCAGGCGGGGGTGCAGCGACGATCTGTCTGGGCAGCGGGGCGAGGACGCTAGGGCCATGGCGACAAGACTGGGGCGGAGGAGGTTGGGCCTGGTGCTGGCGACGGGGATGAGCAACTGGACAACATGGAGGAGCCTGGTGGAGGGTCCTGCTGGTGGAGGGCGGAGGAGGGGCCTGCTGCTGGCTACGGGGACGAGCAGCTGGACTACAGGGAGGAGCCTGGCGGAGGCTCCGGCTGGTGGAGGGCGGAGGAGGAGGAGGAGGATGGGCTTACTGCTGGTCTGGACGAGCAGCTGGAGGAGGAGGAGGGGCCTGCTGCTGGCCTGGATGCACTGCCCTGGAGGAAGACAACGAGGAAGACGACGATCTGATTTCAAGTTAGGGGTAGTTCTGTACTTTCGTTCGTTTTCACCTGGTCGGAGATTTCTCCCAGCGACAATTATTTTGGAACGGACGGAGTGGTTTTTTATGTAACTGTGCGATAGAATGAAATTATACATGAGTTGCTGCTACAATGAGGAACTGGAGAAGATACGACACGCGATAGAATGAATTTGGTTGATTTTTTTTTATTCCTAATAAGTTAGTAGTGGCGTGGGGATAAAATGGCCCGCTACTAGTATTTAGGATACTAGTAGCATTGGGACTATAGATATACTACTACTATTTCATTAGTAGTAGCGCGGTTCATAATAGCAGTAGCGCGGATTGAACCCTCGCTGCTACTAACAAAGTTAGTAGTAGCGCGGGTTCGACCCACGCTACTACTAACTTTTAGCTGTAGCGTGATACTAGTAGCGCGAGTACCCGCGCTACTAGTAGCCATTTTACCCGTGCTGCTAGTAGCCTTTTCCCTAGCAGTGATATAGAGATAGAGAAGAGATAGAGATAGAGAAAAGAAAAATTGAACACTTATTTTAGGACGTATTTTAGGACGGAGGAGTATATACAAAAATTGACCAAATCCTAAGTGCTTAGTTACATAGGAGTAGTAGAGCCCGTCAATCCATTTTCTATTAGTGATCGCCGATCAGGTAGGTATTTTCCTTCTCAACCCTAACCTCAGGCCGCCGCCGATATACGATGTGGGCGTGCCGATCGCTCCTCTGTCAGAGCTTCGACACCTCCTTCTCTCCCGTCGCCGCCCTTTCCGCCACGGTGCGAGCCAGCCGACAGCCGCTCTCGGCAGAGATGACCTGATCGGCTCACGAGAATACACCTCCAACTCCAACTCCAATGGGGATCTGCTCGCCGAGGCCAACCCACAGCATCGGGCGGCGGCGGCGAAGCGGCATCTATACGTGGTTCTGGATGACGGCATCGATGGACATGGCTTCCACAAGCTGGACCTTGCCAACGACGACGATCTTGCGGCGGCACGCGGCGCCTACCGGAGCCTCCGGTCCTCCGCGTGGCGCTTCCCATTGTCCGAGACGATGGGAAATTTGGACAGTCCCTCGAACATTCATGTCTCCGAGAGTAAAAATATGAGTTATTTACAAAAAATGTCATAACATTGGAAATTTCTTTTGAATATGGTTTCTGAAATTAACTTATATGTCCAAAATTTGACTGAAAATACGAGGGTGCTTTACAAACCTGGATGGAGAGAGTAAGATTGAGTTCTTGCTTACATAATCATTTAGAGTGGAAGTAGACTCTATATACCAATTTTTGAACTAGGTGATCAGTAAACCAAAATCTTCTATGCGAAATAACATGCTCCTCATATGGATTGAGATTTTTTTTCTGTGTGTGTGCATATGGATTGAGTCTGATCAAGATTTCAGAAATTTCAGTAATTTCTGGATTTTTACTGTTACCAAAAAAATTATGTATTTCTAACAAAACATTTTTGTTAGTTTTAGCAAAAACACAGATGGGTTTCAAACCTTTGTACCAGGTTTCGTTGGATTTTAGTCAAATCTAGTGGGTCTTTATTAAGTAGGAATTTCATCATCTTACACAATTGCAAAACCAAAATTTAGAGAAATATAATTATTTTGATGGTGTCCAAAATATCTCCAGAGCCAGAATTAAGAACCATGAGACTACTTAGTTATTATATACAAAATTAACCAAATCCTAAGTGCGTATTCATCTAACATGGTTCCAAACATTTTCTATAATATAAAATAAAAAATTGTACTCGCAAAGACGCGTAGCATACTATCGATCTCGCCGTCAATCGATTTTCTACTAGTGGTAGCCGGTCAGGTAGGTCTTTTCTTTCCCAACCCTAAACTCCGGCCGCCGCCGATACACGATGTGGGCGTGGCGATCGTTCCTCGGTCAGCCTCGGCACCTCCTTCTCTCCCCGCTCCGCCCTTTCCGCCACGGTGCGAGCCAGCTGACCGCCGCTCTCGGCCGGGACAACCTGATCGGCTCACGAGGATACGCCTCCAATTCCAACTCCAATGGCGATCCGCACGCCGAGGCAAACCACCAGCATCGGGCGGCAGCGGCGGTGGCGAAGCGGCATCTATACGTGGTGCTGGACGACCACAAGGATGGACACGGCATCCACAAGCTGGACCTCGCCGCCGACGACGATCTGGACGGCGGCACCGGGCGCCTACCGGAGCCACCGGTCCTCCGCGTGGCGCTTCCTACTGTCCGCGACGATGCGCAGTTCGCCGCAGTTGGCAGCAGCATTGTCGCCATATCTACCAGCATCACCACAGACGTGGAATGGCAAGAGGTCGTCGGCGGCGGCGTCCTAATTTACGACACCAAGACAGCGGCGCAGGTCGTCTCGCCTAACCTCCCGAAAAGCCTCCTCGACGCCTTCGGCTACCGGGCAGCCATTACAGTCGGCGACAGGCTCTACTTGCTCGAGTCATGTGGGTTTGAGAGATACTACAAGTACGTTGGCCACGGCAAAACAATTTTTGCATCGGGCTTGCACTGCCTCACCGCCCATGCAGCCGGAGGAGACGAGGACAAGCTCTGGAATTGGCAGCCGGTGTCGGCTTCGTCGCAGTGGCGTTGGAGTTGCACTGAGAATCTTCTGATGCTCCCCTTCGACGCCGATAACATCTTGGCGCATGCGGTGCGCGCCCCGCTAGGAGCGGCCCCGCACGACCATGAGATCTTGGTTTCCGCTTGGCGCTGGGACCGGGACGTGAACAAGGTGACTCCCAAGACCTGCTCTTTCAGCACGACAAGTCACAAGTGGACGTGCCTTGGCGACTGGCGGATGCCCGTAGTCGGCCACGCCCACTACGACCATGGTCTAGACGCATGGGTCGGTCTCGACGCCGTCGATGATGGCTACCTCTGCGCCGGCAATGTCTTGAGTGCTCCCTCAGAGTGGAAGGACGGCAGGGACAAGCTGTTCTGTCTCGAGGAGGACGCCGCGGCTGGCTGGAGCCACATCGACACCAAGCTCGTGCCTGTGCCATCTCCCAAAGGCGGCGACAGCGAGTACTGTCTCATGGAGCGCCTGAGGCCCAAGGGGAATGGCGACCGATACAAGTGCTTGGCTGACGGCGAAAACTCTCTTCTCCGGCTGACCTCCTTGTGTGTGGAGCGTGGCGAGGAAGGTGAGCCCGTGGTCACGGCTCGCCGGCGTGCTCGCTCTTACAACGTATCTAGGTATAATGAATATTTTGAAGCTCAAGCATTTTGGATGTAGTTAACTCTAAGTAAGTCATGAATTCAAAGTTTGTTGCTAATAGAATTTACTGTGACGAATTTCAACTTTGGCAATCCTCATTTTAAAGTTCCTAATTTTTATTCTCGATGTTGTATGAATTTGGAGATCCTGGGTGGGCATTAGTCATCTCTGTCTCCAGCAACTTTTGGGATTTTAACCCAAAAAAATAAATTTCAGAGGCCTCTCATATCGATGAATTTGGAAAATTCAGACGAAATAAGGAAATAAAATTTGAAGTTTTAGATGAAATTCAATAGGCTTGAGATGAAGTTTGATTGAATATTTTTTTCCAGGGCGATACAAGGTAAAGATAAGTTACACAAGAATGCAAGGACAATTTTTCGGCTTTTTTATACAGGGAGTCATAGGTGGGCATAGTTCGCTCCCAGGCTGGTCCAAATATTTCAGTACGTCAAAACTTTATGGCCGCGACAAGGTTATCTCAAGGGGGGCAATTCCTATTTGTTGCTTATCGCGTTAAATAGTGGACCAATCACAGAAATTTAACCACGGGAGAGACTAACTAGGCAGGCCCATTTAGCAAGTTCGTGGGGAGACTGCAACTAACTTTTACCTTTGTTTGTTTTCCTTTCCTTTCTTTATTTTCTTATCTTGGTTTTTTAAAAGGTACGCAAACTTTGGCAAATGCTCATTTATTAATTCAAGAACTTTATCAAATGCATGTTTTTTTTAATTCGAGAACATTTTTGAGAATATTTTTTATTCAAGAACATTTTAAATATTTGAGAACATCTTTAAAATTTATGGATTTATTAAAAAATGAGAACATATTTGTATTCAGGAACAAATTTTTAAATTAAAATATACAGCAATCATTCTTTTAGAAATTTGGTTCAAAAAACTAAAGTAAAAAATATAAGCGGAAGGAAATTCGCTAGAGAAGTGCTCAATGTCATATTTGGTCCGTCCACCATAAAATTATATGTTTGTTAACCCACTATTTGTGAGGAGAGCATCAAATAGGTGCTCCATGAGCCATACATGTCTACCTCCACCAAGGATGAAAACTTTGCCAAGGACATCACAATTGAAATCTCTTCGTTCATGGTCGATGTTGTCTCTTATTCTGGATTACCTCTTTCAGGATCAATCTTGGGGCTCTCACCGTAGACTCCTCCAATCATGGTAGTACGGAGAGATGAGTGACACATTTTGGGAATAGGTGGACCATCGGGTGAAGTCTAAGAAAAAATAATCGATGTCTAGTTGACGGCGATTCAATACAAAACAGCATGCATTCTTATTGGGCACTCAAAACAAACGAGTGTTTATTTTAACAGGTGAAATTGAATGTTGCTATGTTTAGAATGAAGAGTATTATTCCCTCAAAACAAAAAGAATGAAGAGTATTATTCTTTTACGGGGTAACTCTTGCAGTTGCAGTCACTTGAGATGAGGAGCCCTTGGATGG